CACACACACACACACACACACTTCCCGCCATCCTCCTTCATGTCATCACATCACCATCATCTGTTTCCCTTCCCCTCTTCCGCTCACAGAACAAATAACCACCACAGCATCACAGGATAGCATCGCAGGAAGCACGGATACCAGGATCGTTCATTCCTGGGTGTTTTTTCCTCTTTGAAAGTTATGAAGAAATCCTTCTTATATTTTTAAGTATTTGAACATGTGCCTGTATTATTTTATCATTACTTTGATGCTAAGTCAGTTTATGGCAGCGTCACTTAGGACCGGAAGGTCGGAGCCGGACCGGAGAAATGATCAACAGTTCATAATGAAAATAACTTCTGTTTGATACCAAACATTTGAAAGTGAACATAGTTTAAAAAAAAATCTGTTTTCACATGACTGCACAGCGATGACCATCAAATATATACTGGTTCTCATACTCAGGAGACATTTTACTTGTTATAATGAAGTATTTTTTATGATATTACTCATACTTTCACATGAGTATTAGGACTTTTACTTTTAAAGGTACTTTTACGTAACAACGACTTCCTCCACTTGTTGGAGGATTGCTTTGCGGTTTTCTGTGAAAACTTTGTAAGAGTTTCAGTGATTTTTTTTTTCTTTTTTGTGTTTCTAGTGGCAGAGTCTTCAGTGAAGGTGGAGCTGGGGGTGGATGGAGGACAAGCAAAGTCCTAGAAGACCCCAGGTTCAGGTGTGTCAGCTCTCAGGAGCAGAAAAAACTGAGCATTACTTTTCTGCTTTGAACAGATAAAGCAGGCATGAGACGCATGGAGGGGTGTCCACTGAGTAAGCAGATTCCAGTCCTGCTGACAGCGTCTGACCAGAGGAAATGGGGAGGAAGTTTCTGGTTCCTACAGAACTGAAAATGTGACACAAGTCACCTGGAAGCCAGAGCTCAGTTTCTTTAGACCGCCGAGAAGTCTTGTAGTGAATTTCTGGACAGACCGAGTGTGCTGCTGCTAGCATGCTATGACCAATGAGTGAGTACAAAAATTATCACAGTCACAAATTTACATTTTAAACTTCTTTAAATTTAAACGTATTGAATTAAATGTAGCACATGGACCAAAGCGCCCGTCCACCCTCACATCACATCAGAAGCTGCTCGGCTGTGAAGTCTCTGTGCTGATGTTAACGCTGGAGGTTTGAAGCTCAGCAGCTCCTGAGTCAGCAGGACTTTTACACTCACAACTTTTACGCACTCGATGGCACTGCTCTGTGACTTCGCATGCTCCTTTACTTCTTGTCTGAGCCGCTGAGGCGCCTGAAAGCTGAAGAAAGTTCACAGCCTGCCTCACAGCAACATCCACACCTGCTCTCTCTCATGCGTTTGTAAAGACAGACTGGGTTGCGGTGCTGGACTTTACACACCTGTGGTAACAGGATCATTTTTCCATTCTTTAATACAATAGACTCCCCACTACAAATGTTAGGCCTGTTATTTTGCAGCCTTTTAACATTATATGTGGTAAACGGACTGATTCTTGTACAGCACCTTTCTACTATGAGCACTCAAATCACTTTATACAACATGCTTCTCACACATTCATACAGCCTCTTTTGAATATAACATAATGATTAAATAAAAGCTTTTTGGCTCTTTGAGGATGAGCTGGTGTGTCGGTACTGACCGATGCAGTCGGGGCCCCAGTAACCTGGACAGCAGCTCTTTATTTCCACCTCCTTGTAGCACTCGAAGGAGCAGCCACTGAGGGGCAGCTTCATGCTGGGAGTGTTGATGTAGTACCTGCAGAACAGACAGACAGACTGGAGGTAAAGTGGCTGCTGATGTTGGGATCCAGGACAGCAAGGCTCTCTCCTCTTAGAGGTGGAGGTGGGTGAGGGAGGGGAGGGGTCCTTATATAGCCTGATTCAGACGGAGAGGCTGCTCTGTGGCTCAGTGTGATACGCAGAAGGACTGTTTTGAACCCTGACTCGACAGCAGAACTGTTAACTGTAAATTCAATAGAAAATTATTAAAGAGGTGATGTGGAGATCTTTTAAAGTTTCTTGTGTGAGTTGTGATGTTTGATGTGAAATTGTGGAGGTATTTGAATTTGTGCAAAGAAGCTAATCACAGTTTATTGTTTCAACCATCAGTTGAACCACAATGAGGACTTTGAGTGGACCTGTGCTATGTGGTGCTCACTTGCAGTCCTGGGCATTGGATCTGGGCGTGGGTTTGAATCCTGATGGGCACAGGATCAGCTGGCTGATGGTGCAGGAGTGGCACATCGTGCGAGTGCGGAGCACCGTCGAGTTGGAGCAAAAGTTCTGGAAAAAAAAGAAAAGAAAAGTGTCTTTCATCAATGTCTACGCTGTGTGAGTGAAACTGTGCTGGCAGTGTGTGGCTGCAGCTCTTAGCAGGACGATTTCCAACCAATCAGGAGCTCAGTGCTCCACACACTGTCAGCGTGCAGGTAAACTAGAAGGTAGCAGTGTGGAAAAGTTCAACTCATCACTTTGTAAAACTATTAAACCTCCTCCTCTGGACCTGAAAACCAAAGACTGCTGCTGGTGGCTCGACTGGAACAGGAAGTAAGTGTAATAACTGTAATAGCAGCTGTGGTTATCTGCTCCATCAGCTCCACCCAGGAAACGGTCAAAGGAGGCAAACAGGACACGGAGTTCCTGGGCCGATGATGACTTCCTGTTACAGCCTGCAGGTTCAGATGGGAATCAGCTGCTGACAGATAAACTGGCTCCTTTTTGCCTTTGCTCGGTGACAGTTGCTTGTCAGCGGGCTCTGGCTGTTGAGATAACCTCTGATGTGATTCCCGCTCAGTTTCCAGTATCAGCTTATCTAAACACGCGGCTTCCACTAATCGATCCGCTCTGTGTCATCTCTATAAGTCGCCAACTTCACTGAAGTTCAACAGTCATCGCATTGCTGCACAGCTATTCCTGTGTGGGCGGAGCTTTAGTCTTTGGCATGTGCGGCTTCTTCCTGCAGTCTCTGCTGTGTTTCTTTGTTTGCAGCTCTGCAGACCTGAGCAGGCTGCTGCAGGTACCTCATACTCCAGCTGTTGGCTGCACCAGCACAGATCAGACTGAAGATCTGTTTATACAGAGCACATAATACTACACAGTACTGCCTGTAACCATGACAACATTCTGCTTGAGTACCCCACACTAGTTATTTCTCACATTGTTTATGTGAATGTAAAGCTTCTTGAATGAGGGTTGGGGCTATTCCCACTGCGTCCACACTCTCAGGTGACCCCCCCTCCCCAGAAAGTGAACGTCAGAGCAAATTATGTGAGCAGTGCTTCAGTCTGCAGCTCATAATATTTCAGTCAGAGAACACATCGCTATGTAAGACATCAGAAAACCAGAAGTTATCACAGATGAAGCTTCAAACAGGACAGCACAACTAAAATAAATGGAGCTCTTTCTGAGCTGATGTGAGGAAGGGCTCTCAGATTCATCTACTCAAAGTTTCACAGAGACGCTGACGCACGACAACCAGTGTCCAAACTTTTACATCCTGAAGCTCATGTAGATTTTTACATCTGAACCGCCGAGTTCAGTTTTAGAGTTTGAAGCTGAACGAACTCCATGAATAAAAACAGGCGGACAAGCTTACCTGTGCAGCAGCTGACATCTTCAGCTCACTCATCATCATCATCAGACAGACACACAGCAGCCGGACGCTCTGCAGGACCTCCATCTCTTCTGCCCTCCAACTTATCCCCGCCAACTCTTTTCAGCTCCTGCGCCTCTGAGCCTCCGCCTCCTCCTTTATCATCCCTCATGTGTTTCCTGAAAAACCAAACTCAAAGGAAACTGCCGAGTCCGAGGTACACACTGACCCATACATGCACACACACACACACACACACAAAATCAACACTCTGTGTGTCTGTGTTTCAGACCTTAAAAACAGAGACACACACACACACACACACACACACACACATACACAGAGACACACAGATACGCTCCCACATACACAAACACATATACAGAAACACTCACACACAAACACACCGGCGCACGCACACACACACACACATACACAGTTCAGTTGGTCTCAGGTTGCCATAATCGTCACTCCTGCGTTGACCTCACACCGACGGCAGTGCCGCGGTCGACGTGCTCACTATAAAGTTTCTGTGTGTATGAATGTGTGAATGTGAACACGCAGGAATGCAGATGTTTGATTTCTGAGGAGAAGCTGAGGGCAGCAGATGATCACACACAGGAGCCTGGGTGTGACCCCTGACCCTGTGGGCCCCTGGATCTGTGCCTGGCATACCCTGTTCAGTGATGTGCAGTAAGAATGGCAGGAAATCCTGGAGTGTAAATAAGAACATGTTTTCACTTTTCCCCAAATCTTTCTGCCTCATCATCACACACTGCTGATAACACACACTCCTGTCTTTGTGAGGACCCTCTCTGACTCAGCAACATGCAACGAGACCGCGGCCTCAACCCAAACCTGAACCCTGCAACTATGCCTGAAGGTTTGAAGGCCTGAATATAAGAATAATGAATAAGTACAAAGTTTAAATAGTTTATCTGAGGTACACACGATCAGTCCTTGCTGTGCTACTCGAACAAAATGAACTCCATGTTGGATTCAGTCAGAACTGAAATTGGTCAGGAGAAAGTTCACTGAGCTCAGAGATCAGCTGAGCAGGACGATCATTTTTTTGATGTTACAGACGTTACACCCCTCATTTACACCCCTAATTTACACTCTGGGAATGCACAGATCCTAAAACTCAGGGCACTGTGGTGTCTGTCTGTTGCAGAGTCCAGCCTTACTGCATCCATGTGCTGATGATCAATGCACTGATTAACTGATCGTCATCGTCGGTCTGAGCTCCTCTACCAAAGGACACGTTTTAGCAGTTTGAAGGTGTGGTCCATTCAGGCGTTTATGTTACAGTAAATTATTTACAGGGTTAGACTGATCAAAAAAATAAAAAAATAAATTCCAAGAGCTACATCTCAGACTCTACAGGCTTCAGTTAGCAGGTTAAAGGTTAGAGTTCATGACAGCATGGTTAGAAAAAGGCAGAACAGGAATGGCTGTTCAGAGGGGCTGGAGGAGAAAGCCTCTTCTCAGTAAGAGGACATAACAGCAGGGATCGGGTTTGTAAAGCTGCATCTGAATAAAGACTTCAGGAACAACATCCTTTGACAGATGAGACCAAATGTAGATGTTTGTCCATCACGCAGAGCAAACAGCTTGGATCAAGTGTCAGCACAGTGGAGAAGGGATGATGATCTAAGTGCACCTTGAACTTCTTTTGTGGTTCTTCAGTGTGAGGCCATCTGTCCCACAGATAAAGTTGGGACCAACCTGGGTCATCAGCAGGACAAAGATCCAAGCACAGCAGCAAATTTGCAACTGAACGGCTGAAACAGAAAAGAATCGAGCTACTGCAGAGCTCAGAGAGCTGTGCACAGTTCAGATCAGTTTGAATGTTTCTCAAATTGTTTCTACGGTCTGATGTTTCATCAGCTGTTCTTTTGTTTCTGCTGTTTAAACTGTCAAATGAAAGAAGTGATGGATGCGTTCATCACCAACTGACAGACAGGATACTTTCTCCTAACTTTATTTAAACACATTCATGTGAGCAAAGCTGTGCAGGCTTAATATGTTTTATATGTTTGTTATATTTACATCTTTCTGATGTCTTTAATCATTCTTTTATTCAAAAATCAAAAAGAAGACTCTTCTCGGGTGAGGTGGAGGCAGAATAGGCAGGGCCTTCTGTGATCAGATGTAATGAAGTACTTTTACTCTACATCATCAGCTGCCTGTACAGCTATACTGCTGTACTTCCAGCTGGAATGTAGTATTTCCTGTTTCTGGATTATTCACAAGGTTTCCTTCTTTCAGGATGCCTTTTTGGGAATGTTTCTGGAATATCCTGTGAGGAGTTTTATGGTTTGTTAAAGACAAACTGAACCAAATCTCCTCTAGCATTTTCTCTACCAGGCATTTTATTTTTTATTAGTCAAAGTATAATAAACCGTATTTGTGTGGAACCTTTAAACAGACTCACAGCTTTTTGTTCTGTTGTTTTCATGTTTTTGTTAATAAAGTTTGCCAACAGAAATTGAACAAGGAAGTCTTCACGTCCACATTTACGGGATCATTTCACCTTCTGATGTCAGTTTGATTTTTTTTTTTTTGGACAGAAATTATAAAAATATGATTCCATACCAAATAATCAACTTTTAAAAATTATTTACACATAAATATCTTTATTTTAAAATATGAAATCAGTCTGTGGGCTGCAGAACTGGTGAGACTGATCAGGTGCTTCAGTCATTTAGATCTTCAGATTGAGTGTGCAGCAGCACTGATCCTCCTCCTGGTGGCACTCTGAATGCTTCAGAAACATCAAGTTGGAGAAGTCTGTCCAGTCTGAAACATTTAAACGTTCAGGCAGTAAAATCCTGTCCTGGGTCTGCTGCTCACAGGTGAACATGAAACAGCTCACACAGGAGGCATGCAGGAGGCTGTCACGTGGCTCACCTGGATCTTTCCACATGGAGCAGCAGCTCCGCTCTGAGCTCCTCGCCACATCGACAGGTAAACTTAAGGCTTCACCTTCACTGCTCGGCCCTCAGGCAGCTGCTCACCCATTTCTTCTGTGACTCTTCTGCAGGTTTACTCTAATGGTGATGTTATCAAGAGAGAAGGTGAAGCTGTGCCATGTGCTGCTGTAAATGTACCAAGTACTGCTGACCTCAGATTGGTCCAAGGAGGATCTGTCTTCACCTGAGAGGTTCAGTCTTTCTTATGTTTACACTCTTTCAGATCCAGATGTCCAATTTGTCTCTTCCCACAAATCCTTCTTTTATTCCAGGTGTTCTTCTATTACCAGGTATCATGCTGAGGTGAATGAAGGTGAGCTACGTGTTCCATGTGTTTCTGTTTCCAGGTGTGTTACTTACAGGTGTGCATGTCGTTCATGCTCTCGCAGCGCCTGCAATGGACGTAGCAGCACCACACAAACTTGCACTCGCAGCGCTGGATGTGTCTGACCACGTGTGTGTTGTATCCTCTGCCGCAGCACAGCAGGTTACAGCTGTCCGGCCCCGTGGATGTCCGGTTGCACCGGCGCCCTCTGGTGCCCGCGATGCCCCGCCGCCTGTCCTCCAGACAGTAGTTTGGAGACTTGTTGAGGAAGATGAGCTGGTGTTTGTCCACATGGAGACGCCGCTGGTCCTTCCACTTCATCTTCCTCTTGGATCGCTCCGTCACCTGCATGCTGTGCTCGTATCTGTCCTTCAGATACGTCCCGACCCGCTGAAACGGCGCCATCGTCCTCCAGCATGTCTTCACCGCGCAGGAGCCAGAAACACCGTGACAACGACAGTCTGTGGACATCGTCCTGTTGATCGCCTGCAGGACGCAAACAGGAAGTTAATCACACCTTGGACCTTAAGACTTTCAGCTTTAGTTTGAGTCGTCGACGTTCACCTGTCGCCCGGCCTCGCTGTTGTGCTGGTTCATGGTGCTCAGCGTGTAGCTGCTGCGGCTCGTCGACATGTTCTTCAAGGTGTGGTCCATGAACTTGCGGCTGAACCACGTCCCGTACTGGATGTGATCTGAGCAGCCGCCCCAGTGCCAGCCCTCTGCTGCTGAGCCGCCTCCCCGCAGCCGAGCATCGCAGCCGCACTCCGTCATGTTGCCCTGGCTGCAGGAGCGCGTGACGGCATGGACGAGCCCTGCTGCCATCACCGCATAGATGAACGCTGTCTCTTTGGTTCCTGCAGTGACAGAATGGGCAGACATGACACTTATTTCAGGAGGTTTCATGAGGTATACTTTCATCGTCTCAGATGCTTCTTTGCTCATTGGTTAACAATCTTCACCTGATTCAGAGTACCCCTCAGAAATGAAGGCAGAACCACTCTGTACTGGTCACACTCCAGCTGCTTTTATCTTTCAGTCCAAAACTAAAAGCAGTCAGTGTTAGCAGACAGGCGAAGTCCTGTCAGTTAAAATTCACTGGCTATCTAATAATTTAATATATAATTAATAGATTTTATATTTAAAAGTGTATTAAAATAAAATATTTAAAGTCTGTGTAAATGTTTTAATATTTATGCTTATTTTAATTTCATATCATCACTTCACCTACATTTTCATCATCAGAAGAAAATGGGTGGATATATGGATGGAGGGTTTTTCAGACTGAGGTGCAGTCTCTGTGAGTTTCACAGTCTGTAGTCTCTGTAAAGTCTCATATTCAGACGTGCTGTCTGAAGTATTCTGGTCACATTGAGGAAGTGAAGAAATCATTTATCGCTAAGACTGGTATTGGTGCTAAAGGGAGCGCTGCCCTCTACAGGCAGAGACAGGAACTGCAGAAAAAGATTTAAACGATTTCTGAAACCTGAATTTTCTGCTTTGAAGTCTGAAACTTTAACTGAAGGAGAAAATTTCTCTCTTTGATGAATTTAATTTACAAGTCATTGAATGAAATGAGGTCATGTGACTACATTATGGGTTTATGTGCACTCTGACCATCACAGATATACATAAGTTTGTTAACCAGTGTTTTTCCTCAGACTGTAAAAGCTGATTTTACTCTCAGCGACCTCTGATCTCTCACACTGTGACCCTTGATGGTGTTACTGAATGCCTTGTTGTTGTAAAAATTCTTACTCTATTTACCCTTTTCCTCACTCTGCCTCACCTAACCAGACTTATCTTGTTTCCTCTTTTACTTTCTCTCGACTGATTGGCTCTGGAGTTTGTCCCCTAATTAAACTCACCTGGCGCACATTATACAAAAATCGAATCTATTCTCAGAGAAGCTGAGCTAACACACGCCTGAGTGGAAAAAAATACATGATTTCAGTCAGATTCATTTCAGCCAATCAGAAGCAAGCTAAAACGGCCACTGTTCAGTAGGATTCTGTGGCTGCTTTTGGAGAGCTTTGGAACAAATAAAGTTTCAGTGAGCAGTGGTGGTCAAGTTACTTAAAAACAGCAATTAGTTACTTCTCCAAATCACTTTATTTCTCCGAATCCCTTTACTTTAGTGATTACTTATTTTCAAAAGTAATTAGTTACTTTATTACTTAGTTACTTTTAAAAAACATGATAAACAACCTGAATATGTAAAGCAATAGACCTTTCAGCCTAATTCTATTTTTTCTGCATAATCCATCATATAATATTGAAAATTTTCTTTTTAAAAATTGTTTTATTAGTTTTAATCTTTTAACTTTATGCACATTTCATCAAGCAAAAACTAAATTATATTCAACTGTCTCTGACTGGAAGAATTTCTTTTTACATTTAAACCAGATTTGAAAACCAGATTTAAACCAATCTGCATATTCCAGCATATAAAATAAATTATTTTTTGTGTTTACAATCACTCTTTCAAATAAATGCAAGTTAAACACAGCAAAAAATGAATAAAATCGAAGATTCAGCATCACTTAGCCCTGTCGCTCTTAAATCTTATTTTCACCGTGCTGGGTGCTTGCTATGATTTGTAGCAGGGCCGGCCCGTGGCATAGGCCGTATAGGCAAATGCCACGGGCCGGCCTTTAGGGGGCGCCACGCCAGTGCCACAAATGTTGAAAAAAAAAAGAAAAAAACCCGATTATTATTATTATTATTATTATTATTATTATTACTATTATTATTACTATTATTTCTAAATACAAAAAATAATCCCACGTTAATTAAAATGCAAAGTAAAGCTTATTTAATAGAAATATTATTTGTTACAACATTACACTACACTGCTGATGTAGGGGGGCGCCACCTAAAATCTTGCCTAGGGCGCCAGATTGGTTAGGGCCGTTTCTGATTTGTAGTTTAATTTTTTGCTGTAGAAAGAAGTTTTTTTCACACGCAGAGTGTACAGCAGACACTTCTTACAGAATCAAACTCAAAGTAACGTAAGTACTTCCAAGCTTTAAACACCGCACGGTCGCACTCTCTCCCGCACTGTTGATCTGCACACGTCTGTTGCTGCCACGGACGTCGCATGCTATTACGTCACTGTCATAAGACACTGACAAACAAAATCAGGGTTTAGTAACCCAGTAATACAGCCAGTGGCGGTCCTAGCCTGTTTGGCGCCCCGGGCGAACACCCCCCCCCCCCCACACACACACACACACACAAAAACATATTAAGGATTGTACATTAACATAAAACTGTTGTTGGAACCACACTGAATTTCGCCATAGAAACACACACACATGAAGAGAGAGAGAGTATGCATAGTATGCAAACAGCTACCAAACAGCCATCATAATTCGTCATACAATGAGAACAGGAAGAATCAACAATTGACAATGACTAATTAATATTAAAATCTGTAACATAATGTATTGTTTGGAGTTTAGTCTGTTACTGTTACTATTTTTACCATTTCTTCTTGGAGCAACTGTAACGCACATAATTTCCTTAGGGATTAATAAAGTATTCTGATTCTGATTGTTTCAGGATGACCTGCCATTATCCAATGACACATCTGCTTACCTGTATCTTTTGCTCGTTTCTCCTCCTCTTCTTTTCTATTTTTTCTAAACTGAGCACCTGATGGCTTTGAACTTTTCTTGTCCATCTTCCATTGGTTTTAATTTTGCACTCCAGTATGAACACAAATCCCCCAACTCGAGGATCACCACGACATGATCTAACACACCTTAGTTCACAGATTCACTTTGTCTAGGGTTTATTTCTGGGATTTCACACAACCCAGGATTCAAATCATGAATACATAATGGGCTTGGATTTACATCATTATGAATGAAATGTGCTCTATTTGGAAGCAGCGGCCCCTCCCCTTTCGACGGGTTGTGTGTGAGACTTTAAATCATCAAACTGTAAATTATAAATTTTAAATTGTTATTGATCCCTTTACCCCTGGTCCTAAAGTGTATATTTATTTTCTTACTCTTCTTATATTTATTGTTTGTTTACTTGCACTGCTGTAACTGGAGCCTCGTCGTCTCGTCTCTCTATATACTGGACTGTATGTAGCGGAGATGACAATAAAGTTTACTTTGACTTCAGCAGCGAGCAGGCGCACCGAGGAAAAACATCGGTGCAAATTATAAGTCTGTATCATAATGTCTGGTGTTTTTGTGTTTGTTGGTTTGTTTTTATTTTGTTTTATTTTGCGAGTTGGTTATTAGATGCTGCTCCAGCCAGTCAGAGAATCCCCCGCCGCCCCGCCCTCTCCTCCCTGTGCCGCAAGCAGCAGGCGCACCTCGCAAACGGAGGGCGCCCTTACTCCCAGCAAATGGGCGATAGAAAACCGATCGGTGCCTATGCCATTCCCAATATGCGCTGGCTGATGTCGGGGCAGCATGAGTACGAGCAATTTTTTATTTTTATTTTTTTTGCCGATGCCCCTGATGCCGCCCCCCACCACGATGTCGCCCGTGTCGCCCGTATTAAAAACCGCTACTGAATACAGCGTTCTTACGGGAAAGTAACACTAATCTAATTGCATTTTTACAATAGTAATCCTTTACTATAATCATTACTTGAAAAAAGTAATCGGAACGCGCGTAACTGCCCATCTCTGTCGATGAGTGAAGCCTGTATTTGCTCCATGACGGTCCTGCTTCACCTGAGCAGTCACGCGTCCAGGTGAATCATAGGGAGGAGTCCCCACCCCCTGTAAAGTGATCTTACTCACCGCTCGTGAGCTCGTGCCCGAACACGGGCACCTTCTGATTGGTGGAACAGTTCCAGCGCTCGTGCCTGAACTGTCTCTGACACTCGGCCACCCCGAGGCGCGCGCCCTCCCGGACTCCCGGCAGCAGGATGGACTTCCTGCTGCACAGCTCGCGCTGCCGGGGGCTCAGAGACAGGTTGGAACACCCCAGCTTCTCCACCACCCCCGGTGACGTCACACCGAGCCACCTGTCGACAGAAATCAGCAAAACTTTATTTAAAATAAGGAAAAGTTCAGACAGCACACCTCTGATTTATTCATTTATTACCTGTCCATCCTGCACAGGTGTGAAGTGAAGCACTAACTCTGACGTCACGTTGTGCAGCGTTCCTGGCTGCGGGGTTGCTTATCATACAGCGTAACATCTAAATGAACGCTTGTATGTACCTGAGATGTTCCGTTATTCGGGCCGAAATCGATAAGAAACTTCGAGAGTATGCTTATATGAAACGTGTAAATACTTGCTGTATTTATACTAAAATAAAACACATATTAGAGAAAGTGGTCGCTGTGTATGTGTGCCCCCCATCTGATTTCCGAGCCCAACCCCCCCGGCTCGGCGCTCATCTGCGCCTTTTATCAGGCTCTTGGCGTAGAGCAGGTCTCTTGCGCGCGTGCGCTGCTGCTGCGGATTAGAAACGGTCTGTGCACGCGCAAAATTCGGATTCTTGGACATTACCGTGGAAAATCCGCGTGTTTCAGCCAAAAACGAGATCCAAACCTCATCAACTGAGTGTGTGAGGGTCACAGAGAGGTCACAAGGAGTCTGCGCGCATTTCTGTGAGAGCGAGAAGCTTTTAATGAGCACGAAAGAAGAGGCGCTCTTTAACGACACCGTAATGCTCCTGTAGGCTGAGCCGGTGAATTCGCTGTTTTCCAGGCGGACTCTGCACTGAAGTTCTCCGCTGCCCTGCAGCTCACAGCCAGCTGGCTCCGTGTGCTCCTCCGGGAGCTTCATCTCCATAAACGTCTTCACGCATGACTCTGACGGCTCCGTGCCAGCGCGCGCTTTGGCACGAGACAGCTGAAGAAAACTTTTGGGCTTTTATTTAGCGTGTGTGTGTGTGTGTGTGTGTGTGCGTTGTGTGTGTTGTTGTGTGTGTTGTGTGGTGTGTGTGTGTGTGTTGAAACCTAGTGTGCGCGTGTGTGTGTGTGTATTTTGTAACATACTTACATCCAGCTGCCCCTGCAGCACAGCGGGCACACGCACACCAGCAGCAGACTCAGAGCGTTCATGTGTCGGACTCCGCAGCTCCGCGCCTCCATCCCTGCTCAGCTCCGCATGCTGACAGCGACCCGGCCCGGAGCAGGCTCCTGAATCCCGCTGAAGGAGTCCTTTCTCTACTGTGCTCTCCTCGATCTGCAGGAGAGGAGAAGCACCCTGGACCAGTCCCAGTCCCGGACGGTTCTCATTGGACCAACTCAGGACTCAGCAGCTGACGTCAGAGCTGGGCTATAACTGGCTGGATGGGTGAGAGGCTTCATGATAAAAAACTTCGTGCTGACATCTGATCCCCGAAAAGCAAATAAACGACGGAACACAGTAGAAAAGACATCTAAAAGTGGCTGATTTTTGAATGAGGTTTGGTGAAAACATTTTAGTTATATAAAAATAAGACTTTAAAAGATTAAAACTGAAACGATTTTGTGAACTTAGAAAGCAAACCAAAATGCAAAAACGAGATCAGAATTTATTACAACTGATGAGAAAACGTGTTTGCTGAGAGTCACTGCTTTCAGAAAGTTCAGAGTTTCTATTGTAGTGCCTGTACTTAATAAAGATTAAAACTAAATAATAACACCGAAACTATTAAAAACGAAACATTTTTGAAATAATGAAAACTAAAGGAGTAAATTCTCCCTGGAAACTAAACTGAACTAAAACGAAAAAGTCAAAATGAAATAAAAATAAACAATATTTAGGAAACAATAACTCTGTTGTTGGATTTTTTGAAGAATGCTTGTCAAAAAAACGTAAAGAAAACTTTCTTAAAGAAAATTTTGTCAATATGACCAAAAAATGCAATAAATAAAAAACAATTTATTTCCTAATTCTGGAGCTTTCAGCCTCCTCTGTGGACCTCCAAAAGTTATTCAACAACCTAAAATCTGTCCTGATGAAGCTAGAGATAATAAAAATAATAATAATAATAATAATAATAATAATAATAATAATAATAATAATAATAATAATAATAATAAAGAGAAAAAGATGAGTTTTGTCCACTGGTGTTTTATTAAATGTTATAAAGCCATAAGTGAGACGGTGTTTAAAAGACTGAGTGGTTGTGGTTGTGAATGTGTTCACAGTTCAGGATTAAAAACTTTTGTTTGACTTTTTGTTTTTTGTATGAAGAGCAGAATGAGCACAGTCATAAAAAATATTAATTTCTTCTGTTTTCAGCTTATAAAAAGACACATTATACATCTGTAGAAAAATATAGAAATATAAGCAGAGTCATAAAAGATGCTTCTGTCACGTGATGAGGAGCTTTCATCAAGTCTTTGGAGTTAAAACTGGTCTGACATACAGAATCGATCAATCAGTGAGGCCTGAGGCTAAGTCTGAATCAGGAAGCAGCTGCTTGAATCCACGCTAACTCATATCACTGTCAAACACACGGGCCAGCGAGAAGCAGCTGGTGCAGTCAGCAGAATTACAGCAGAGGATTTTTCTGGTTCTGAAATGGAAAATCCCAGCAGAAGGTCAGAGATTAACAGTCCTGCTGCTGGGACCTGAAATGCTGAAAACTTTAAACATCTGCGAGCAGCAGGAACCAGCTGAGCGATATCTCGAGTAACCTCTGCTTATTAGAAGCCAGCAGCTGAGTCTGAGACCCTCAGCGTCTCGTCGGATTGGTGCTCCTGAGCTGCACAGTGAGGCTTCTGTTCATTCTGAATAATCCACCTCCACCATTGAGTCCCCCACCCCTCTCTGAAGTCCACGTCCTGGAGGGGGACAGGTGACTCTTCCGAAGGATTCACCTGGCCCCTCCTAGGTGTTCAGTTTCGGGTAATGGGACACAGGCGGCTCAGAAGGATCTCAGAGTATATTTGGTTCACTGGTCCTCTAACACGATAGGTTGTGGGTTGAGACCCCGCCTCCTGCTCCGTGTCTGACAGGGTTGATTGGCTGCCGAGTGTATGTACAGTTCTCTCTGTTCTGGTCGTGTTCGCGGTGGACGTTCTGTCACTGGAAAGTTTTGTGGACCAAAACTTCTCCACCTGAGAAAACAGAGCAGAACATCAGCTGTGAGGACTGCAGCCCTGACCATTGGAAGCACTTTGTTTGCTGATAAATAAAGTTGTGTTACCTCGTGAAAGTGACAGGCACAGCGTCCCTGCAGGAACTCTTTGTATCGACCCATCGTGATGCTGAACGTGTCAATCACTTCGTACCCATGATGCTTGGCGGTGGTGATGATGTCGTCGTTCTCCCTGTACAGGTCTTGTATCTCTGTCTGAAATATTGATCAAAGAAAGCAGCTTTAATTCCCATAGAGGGGTATGAATGACAGCAGGAACAGGAACCTACCAGACTGAGAGACCTGATCCCGTCCACAGGCAGATGGAAGCCCATCCCTAAAGACTTCACCACCACCAGGATGTTACTGAGAGATTTACTGAGGAGGGACAGAAGTAACCTCACGTTACCATAGAAACCAGAGTCCTCAATAACATTGCTAATCCCGAACGCTAAACCCCGGGTTACTGTCTTTACTGAAAGGGTTTCTCATGCTACAGGAAATGCAGGACTGGAGTACAGGTGAACCTCAGGGATCAGCGTTAGGTCCTCTGTTCTTTAGATCAGTGTAAGCCCATATGGAGATAACACTGTGGTTTATACTGTATGTAGGTGGTGTTACACTGTGTCTCCTCACTTGTCCAGCACTTCACTGACTGTCCTCAGGTGATTGGTGTTGAGCCACTGGACTCCTCCCACAACCAGAACTGTTTGGTTAGAGTTCACCAGAGGCTGAGACCTTAACAGACAAGAACAAGAAAAGTCACCTGTTAAATATCTCACGGCTTCATGTAACATGCCTCAAAAGTGGATTGTTAGGACCTCACCTGTTGAGCAGCTGCTGCAGAGCCTCCCTGAACGTGGGTCGCTGCTTCTTCTCCAGCCAGAACTGAGGATAGTACGAGTAGCTGACCAGAGTCCGTCCTCTGTTCAGGTTCCTGTAGACCAGCGTGTCGTGAGCTTTGTCCCAGTCCTCCAGGGTGGAGTTCACCCTCTCCATCAGGAAGTACATCATCCCACGATTTGTTGAGTCCCCGATAAACAACAGCTGAGGAGCAATGAGAGAGCTTGTGATGTACCTCCATCAGGACGACTGCCACAAACTGGCAGTCGCCTCCTACTGATCTGAGATGGACTGGTTCAAATCAGCTGATCGGGTGACCTTACCTTTCTGTCCTTCATACAGTCCTGCAGCAGTGGGTGGTCCACTATTGGGTGATAACAACCATCTGCCTGCCAGGAAACTTCCCTCCAGTCGCACGTCCTGTTGTCAGAACAACTGAGGCATGGAACAACCCAGCGTCCTGTCAGGCAGGTGAGTCACACAGGTGAGGTGGCGAGAACAAAAAGTCACTTGACTTAAATTTGATGTATTATCTTAAGGAAGCAGTCCACCGGCAGGACCTCAGACCTGACACGTGTCCCGAGCTGCAGGCATTACGTTGACTCTGGGATTCGCTGTGGGGCTGAAGACCGCAGGAGCGATCTGGCTGGACCAGCAGACCGCAGTCCTGAACAACAGACATCAAACTGTGAGAAATTTGCAATCAGCACTTCCAGGAAGTTCTGAACCTCCTGTGTGCGATTTCTGACTGCAGTACTCTGCAAATACTACAAACTGTAAATATAAAATGGCAAATGGACTGGGTCTTTTTTATACTTTATTTTATTGTTTTATATTGTTATTTGTTGTATTTTTATTCTTTTTAATTTTGTGAAAATTAAGCACTTTATGATTTTTATTTCACAGAATTTTATCTGTGAAAAGCGCTATATAGATACATTTTATTAACTTCTTATATCGCATTTTTCTTTTGTATCTGAGCACTCAAAGCATTTTACACAAATTGCCTTAATCACAAGCACTTTTTTCGATGCCCTTTCGTGTAAGTACTTTCTATCTAACATTCATACGCATTCAAACTCCGATGGATGCATCGAAGAGCACACAGACTAAAGCAGATGGGGATCAAAGCACCTACTGATAAGTAGGTGATCTGCTCTACCACCTGAGCTACAGCCACCCCAAATAACACACTTTACCACCCAGAGTGGAGGAATTGAGATGTTCTGGACACAGATGAAGAGGAAACAAAGGAACCCTCAGAGGAAGCGTCAGTCTGAAGTTTCCTTTAAAACCTGAAACTGAAACGAGTTTTTACTATTTTGTTTAATAAACACTTTACAGCTGGTTACATTGGTAAATCGAATAGATTCTGTTTTCTACTCATAGAAAATTACACATGAAAAACTTAAACACATGACTGCACCATCTTTAGTTTTAATCACTGGGTTTGATTCCCTGCAGGGTCAGAGGTCGCGTCCATCCCAGTGAGCTTTGGCCTCTGAAAGTAAATCTGCTGTTTGAGATCTGAAGCTTCTCGCTGTCAAACATCACGTCTTCTTCTTCATGTGCTCGCTGCTTCCTCCCTCAGAGCTTCTCTTTCATCCTCCTCTGTGGATCTGTCCCCGTCCTCCTCTGCTCAGAGGTCAGGAGTCAAGCAAAGCGATCCACGCTCACCTCAGAGTCCCCGTGGGAGCCTCCAGGTCTGGCGCAGACTTCACAGCCACCGCCATCACAAACGCTGGCTCTTCTTCTTCTGCTGCTGTTGCAGGTTTCGTCGTGGCGGCGTCACATTCCTCACGTCAGCGGCACAGCTCGCAACAAAGTGCGACAAGAAAACTTAACAGGGATTTTCTTGTTCGTACCTGTGCTCAGTGTACACGCTGCTCCGAGATCATCTCCAAACACACCGCCTCCAGCAGCAGCGGACCGTTTGAGGCCTCGCCGCCGCCACGTCGCCCCCAACTCTGACTTCATCGAGGCCGCGGCCACGCGCTCCTCTTCCTCACTCGGACTCAGAACAGCAACAAGAACTACAGCTTTTAAAACTGAGAGAGATGTGAGCCTTTCCTTCTGATCAGAATTTAATTTCTGCTTCAAACTCCATCACAACGCGACGAGAGAGCACAAATGTCACTTTAACCATGGCGGCAGCTTTTGTGTAAAAGCAGCTACTGAAGCCTGATGATGTCAGATATGATGTGCAGTAAAAAATGATTTTCTTTGTCAGAATCATTTTTATAACTTCAGAGGCAGGGCTTTTTGCTTTTTGCCTGGATGATAAAAGAAAACTGTATTTTATTTTTTAAACTATCAACTGGGAGTTTAAATATGCAAATATAATAAATCATTTTCAAATCTCGTGTCCACAGGATAGGACAGAGCTGATAGAGTGCCACAGAGCAAACGCCAGATCACAGGTCTGAAACACTCGTCAAACATTAAAAACTAAATGAATTTGTAAATGAATGTGTTTAATGTGTCAGAGTGCCGTAATTTCCTGCTGATAATGAATGTGACGTGCTGTTTCATGCTTAAACCTTATTATTATTCCTGAACAGGTTCATTTTTTGGATATTTCATCAGTTTGTAAACAATATTTTCCTTCATTTTGGAAATCAGTGCAGTTTTTATTTTTAGTAAATAAATATTTGATTTTTTAATGATCACACTATAGTTCATTTCACATACACTAGATGTTTATGACG